ATCGGGCCCCTTTGGTAAAGCGCTTGCTGTTGTGGCTACAGGGTCCGGCTTGAATAAGGAACCCTTATTTTTCGAAAGGGACTCGGTCGTTCCTTTGGTTTGCATGCGTTCCGCTACCTTTTTGGCGGCGAGCCCCCATGGTGCTCCTTCGGACTTCCTAGACTTACTTGGGAAAAAGAAGCTTCGTTCCTTGTTGCGAAGGCCTTACGGCCGGTGCCGCCGGCCTTGCAGACGGAGACGACGAGCAGGACACGGACGTTGAGGAGCAGGAGGCGGAGGACGTCAGGGAGCAGGAGGGGGGAAGAGGAGGAGGAGGAGGAGGAGGAGGAGGAGGAGGAGGAGGAGGAGGAGGAGGAGGAGGAGGAGGAGAGGAGGAGGAGGAGGAGGAGGAGGAGGAGGAGGAGGAGAAGGAGGAGGAGGGAAGAAAAGGGGCCTCGTTCCTTATTTTTCGCTCCTCAGGTCAGGCCGAATACTGTACTGACGAGGGCGCGCTCCTGCAGCCCTGGGGAGGGGGAGCCGCGCCGCGCAGCGCCGCGCGGGGCGCGCACCGCTCGAGCGCGGGCCGCGCGCGCGCCGACGGGCGCGCGCGGCCGCTCTCGGTGGGAGCGCGCGCGCGCGCCCTTCGCTGCGCTCCCTTCGCTGCGCCCCCCTCGCCCTCGGGGGGAGTTTTCCGCTTTTGAGCCCCCCCGTCAGCGTTTCTCTGTTCTCAGCGATGCCTGGCTCTGAACACCAGGAGCCCCCAAAAGCTTTAGCTCTCGGCCTGTTTCGGCTCTCTGGACTTTCTGAGTTCTCGCCAATGGCCGCCGCTTCCGGCCAGGTCTCGTGGCCTAGGCCCGGGAAGCTGAGACCCATAAAGGGGCGGTTGGGGTGCGCCGCCGCCCGCCCATGTCGGCACGCCCCTTGCGCGGGTCGTGCCCCGATGGGAGCTCCATGGTCGGGCGATCGCAACCATGGATCAGGGAGGCGTGGATTGGCGACGGGTCCCGTTTCCGTGGGAAATCGCGGCCTTCCGCCGCCGAGCGAGGCGGCTCCGGCCGCACTTTGGGTAGGGCACCTCCCCCGATCCGTGGATTCGGCGACCGCGCGCCGAATCTACGGATCGCCAATCCAGGTTGGCGCGCCCCCGACATCTGAGGCCCCGGTGGGCGGGCTCGCGTGCGCCCCCCCGCCCATGTCCGCGCAGCCCTCGCACGGAGGGCGCCCCTCGGGGAGCTCTTCGCCTGCGGCCCCCATGCGGGGAAGTCTGCGTGCGCGCCCCGGGGGTCGCGCCCGGCAGGGAGGTCCATCGGCAGCCCGCCGCTTCGGGCACCCCTCGCGCAGATGCAGAGCCCCACAGGGAGTTCTCCCCGCGGCCCCCGCGGGAGGGTTCGGATGCGTCCCCAGCCCATTTCGGAGCACCTCTCACGCGGATCGTGAATCTGAATACGGCCCCCTTGTGGGACAGTTTGCATGTACTTTATTAGTGAATTTAATTGGTTTTAGGGTTTTAACAAATGGTCGCAGCCACGCAGAGGGCGTGCGTAGCGACGCCCCAAATGCTCGGTCTCCAGTACTTCTACGTGGCGGCGCCCCCGCAGGCACGCAGAGGGCACGCGTGGCGACGGGGGCGTCGCCACGCAGAGCTTCTAAAGACCAAACATTGTGAAAACCAATTGTTTCCACTACTAAAGTATCCCCCCACCCCTGTCGGCGCACGTGCATGTCAGGAAGGTCCACGTGCCAAGGGTTTTGATACTTTCTCCGCAGGTTCTCGCGCATGCCTTGCACGTTCGTGCCCCTCAGGAGCTCGAGCTCCAACCACGGTTCCATACAGTCCCCAGTAGTTCCAGGCATACCGCGTACAGTCTTTGTGGGGTTCTGTACAGGTTTCGTAGTGCCCCTCGTAGGTTCTGCACAGGCTCTATGCGGCCTCTATCAGACTGGATTTGGGTCTCATGCTGTCTCTTCCAGGTTACATGCAATGCACATGCTGTCTCTATTTGGTTCCATGCAGGTCTCTCTCACTCCCTAGTGGTTTCGTTGCGGGCTATGCCGTCCGTCTCTATCCAGCTGCCGACGGCAAGTCCCGCCATCGTGCTTGGGTTGTGGGCTATAAGCCTAGTGGATGTTCGTTGAAATCTCGTGGGAGGCCTCTCGGGGGCCTCTTGGAGGTAGTTTTGAGGCCTCTCGGGGGCTGTCTTGGGGCCTCTTGGGGGCCTCTTGGGGGCCTCTTGGGGGCCTCGTCGGGGCCTCTTGGGGGCAGTCTTGGGAGCCTCTTGGGGGCCTCTTGGGGGCCTCTTCGGGGCCTCTTGGGGGCCGTCTTCGGGGCCTCTAGGGGGCCTCTTGGGGCCTCTTGGCGTCCGTCTCTATCAGGTCCGATGCAGGTCCCATACGGTCTCTGTTGTTGCGCATCCTGCGGTTGTGCCCCCCCCCCCCCCCCCCCTCGATCCTCGATCCTCGATCCTCGATCCCTCGATACTCGATCCCTCGATCCTCGATGCCTCCTCTTCCCTCCCACCTGCCTCCTCCCCCCCTCACCCCCTCGATCCTCGATCCTCGATCCTCGATCCTCGAGCCTCGATCCTCCTCCCCCCCCCTCCTCCTCCCCCCGCGCAGCTGGGCCGGGGCCGCGGGGCCCCGCCTTCGCC